TCTAGACTTAGTTGGTACCATGAATAAACTTGACAGCACATATTTGTAATGCTTACATGAAACGATGATAATAATAATGACAAATACTTGAAGGTGTCACTTGTTTAAGCTCACCCAGCAACAGTAGAAGCAGGATAAGAGCCCACTCAGTGTGGCTCCCAAACCATTCTCAGTCAAAATTTATAGATTACCCTTATAAATTTAAAACAGTTACATGTATATGTGGAGTTATACATTCAACTACAACAGCTTTAAAAATATGATTGAGGCCGAAACCAGTTTGGCTCAGTGGATAGAGCGTCAGCCTGCAGACTGAAGGGTCCCAAGTTCGATTCCAGTCAAGGGCATGTACCTTGGTTGCGGACACATCCCCATTGGGGTGTGTGCAGGAGGCAGCTGATCAATGTTTCTCTCCCATCGATGTTTCTAACTCTCTATCCCTCTCTCTTCCTCTCTATAAAAACTCAATAAAACATTTAAAAAATGTGAATGAGGCAAAGGCACAGTCCACATGAACATGTAAGGTAAGGGGCCAGGGATTTTTTGTGTCTGGCACTGGTGAGGCCAGTCCCAGACGTAAGGGACAGGCACTTTCCGTCCTGGCTCGGGGAAGTTTGGGAGTACAGTTAGGTCTTAAAGCAAGGTGGGTCTCCAATTGTCTGGTGACTCAGAACCGTGTGTGCTTTTTAAACTGGTGGCCTCTGAGGTTCCTCTCCTAGAACAGCTAACATTTGTTAAGCACTTTCTCTGTGTCAGCCATCTTTCTATCATTATCTCATTTATTTTTCCCAACAATTCGAGGAGGTTCCCATGTTACAGACGAGGAGAATAAAGCACAGGCAGTGAAGGTGCACCAGTGACCAGTGAGTAAATGACAGAGTCAGTATCCAATCCCTGGTCTGTTGGTTTCCGGGGTCAGAACTACAAACCACACTGTGGCCCTCATTTCCCCTGATGATCTGAGTCTGTGGGTCTGGAGTCCAGGCCTTGAACAAGTGACTTTAGGAGGTCCCTGGCCACTTTGAGAAGCAATGCCCTGTGGCAGCTGTCCTCAGTCTGGCTGCACATTAGGACTACCTGAGAAGTTTCAAAAACTATTAGTGCCCAGCCCTTCCCCAAAGAGAGGCGATTTGGTCCAGAGTTGGGTAATGGTTGATGGGGTGCAGGTAAAGCATTTTCTTTTAATGGGACAGTGTCTTTATTTAATTAATCAACCAATCAACCAAATAGTCAATCAACAAAGATGTATGGCCACCTGCTCTGTTGTGCCCTGTGTTGCCCTGGGGCTGAAGATGCAAAGATGGGGTGGGGGTGGGAACACTGCGTGTGCCCTCCAGGAGTGCAGGTGACCAACCTGCCTGCTGGGCAGAGCATGTCCAATGTGTGGAGGTGGGAGGGTGCAGACTCTTTCTCTCCTGTTCTCCCTTGTTGAGCTCCAGAAAGAGCCAGACTCCCCAGGTGGTGATGTCCTCTGCTTCCCCCGCTGGGGAGCCTTGGCCCCCACCTGAGAAGATAGTTACCCAGGTGACAGAAACACAGGTTGTCAAAGAGAACAGGGCCCCAAGGCTCCCTCCATGTCAGGAGCTCTCAAATGACAGCAAGCAGCTGACCAAAGTGCTGGGCGCTCGTTCAGTCTGAAGATACCTGAAGCCCAGTCCCAAGGTTCTGATTCCTAGATCTCCGGTTGGGTCCAAGAAATACGTGTTCTTTTGTTTTTTGTTTTTTTAAATATATTTTATTGATTTTTCACAGAGAGGAAGAGAGGGGGATAGATAGTTAGAAACATCAATGAGAGAGAATCATCAATCAGCTGCCTCTTGCACACCCCCTACTGGGGATGTGCCCGCAACTCAGGTACATGCCCTTGACTGGAATAGAACCTGGGACCTTTCAGTCCACAGGCCGACGCTCTATCCACTGAGTCAAACCGGTCCCGGCAAGAAATACGTGTTTTTAATAACCTTCCAGATGGCTCAGGTACACACTCTCAGGGTCCTGCACTCCCCAGGAAGGTCTAAAAACACTAGTTCTCAGGCCCATCCCTTAGAGAGCAGGGGCAATGTTCCTAAAGGCTCCTCCCCATGGGCCTTATTTAGGATTTGGGCAGATAGCACAGGACAGTCACATACTACCATTAGGGCTTTGAAAACAAGAGGCGGGAAAGATGAAAATAAAAATGCCAATGAGAAGTTGTAGAAAGAGAAAAGCAAGAGAGAAGGCTGGATAAGAAGCTCCTATTGAATTCACTCGTCACCCCAGAGCCTTACCCCCCCCCCCCCCCCCCGCCCGCCTCTCAGCAGTCATCTGATTTATAAAACGATGTAACAAAATTTTAAATGACACAAAATATCATTTTCAAAACAACATCGGTATCATTTCCAAAACATTACCAAAAAGTGAGTGTATTTAACTGTTCTCAATTCATAACAGCAAATGCGTGAGTGGAGCAATAACGCATGTTGTAGCATGGTTAGTAAATCTGCAGTAGAGAAAGTTGTTTGAAGGAAAGCAGAGAAACGTTGTCTTTTAAGTATTAGAACCGAGGGGCTCCATAATCATCTGGTATCTGCTCAATGTTGTACCTATGGTTAGAAATGTACAGGGATCTTCCTGATTCTTCGTTTAAGGTCTCGGTCAACTGTGGCCACAAGATAACACTTGTGCTGAGTTACTCTCTGTACTAAGCAGTCATCTGCAAAGGTCCTTTGTGTGCGCATGGTAATCGTTCAAATCTTGGATCCTTGGTGAACCTTAGAGCGACTTGATACTTCTGCCCCAACTTCTCAGTTTCAGCCATTACACAGTCAGTTATACAAGGGATACACTTGGTAAAGAGACACTCCATCATTGATTGCACTAAGCCCAGTTTGGTCTTAATGGAAAAGTTGAAAAAGTTGGTATCAACCAGGAAGTGGTAAGGTGGGCCTAGCTGTTATATTGAAAGAATAAGCAAGAAGGGTGTTGGGGGACTTCTCTTACATTGAGTGCACTGAGATCTTTCTTTTCTTTCTTTATAGGTTTTAATCTATCCTTTTCTTTAAGCCTCTGATCTCTGAGACTAAGCATTTGCTTCATGGTTGAATACTTCCTGGTTTTCTTTTGCATCCTCATGCTCACATCGCACCCTTGTTTCTTTCTCTCTGTCTCTTTTTTAAACATTTATTTATTATAATAGTTATTAACTAATGTAAAAAACTAACAATATGAGTATATGAAAAAAAATGATCTATAATATTATATAGATCATTATTATCACAAAAGGCCTTAGTATGGCATATCTTGCCTAATGATAGACAAGCATGCTTATTGACACCTACAGCCAATTAGGAGTGAGTATGCAAATTAACCCAATAAAGATGGTGATGATGTAGGCATTCCGCCCCGCCCCTGCAGCTCTGGGCCTTTGAGCAGCATAGGAAGGTGGAAAGGTGGCTCCAGCCAGAGCGAAAGCGGTGCTGGCAGCCAGGGAAAGGAAGGCCCATTCTGGCACGAATCTTTGTGCCTCGGGCTTCTAGTATAATGTAATATATAATAGATCTTATAACTCTTTAATTATATATTAAACCAGAGGCCTGGTGCACGGATTCGTGCACTGGTGGCATCCCTCAGCCTGGCCTGTGGAGATTGGGCCAAAACCAAAACTGGCTCTCCAACATCCCCCAAGGGGTCCCAGATTGCAAGAGGGTGCAGATTAGGCTGAGGGACCCCACTGGTGCATGATAGGAGGGTTCCAGGGCGTGTCTGGTCCATCTCACCCAGTCCCAATTGGCCAGACCCCAGCGGCAAGCTAACCTACTGGTTGGAATATCTGCCCCCTGGTGGTCAGTGCATGTCATAGGGACTGGTTGAATGGTCTAACGAATGGTTGGACGCTTAGCATATTAGGCTTTTATTATATAGGATATGGACATTAATATAATTATCATAATTAAAATAATATCCTAATTAAAATAAGTTATTAAGTAAAATTATTATTATGAGATATGTAATTTAATATATAATTAATATTAATAAAATATATAAACTTGACATGTACAATTATTATTCTTTTTTACTTTTCTGTTTTGCTTTTATTCAACTTTTCAAAAAGATTTTGTTTTTCAGGTCATTAAAAACCAAAGTCTACATTTTGGGGCCAGATTTGGGAGGGCACGGGAGTGAAGTAGAGATGGCATGTCACCCTCCTCATACATACATTCATACATTCCTTCACATGTGCACACTTACACACATGCAGACACTTCTATTCCACTCTGTGGCCCTAGACATCATTCGCTCAAACATGTCCTTCATATCATATCCCCAATGTTAGGCTCAGCATTTTATTAATTGATATTACTAAATTAATATTTATTAATATAGGATTTATTAACTTATATTAAGTATAAAATAAGTTTCTTTCCTCTTTCCCATGTCTCTGAATTCTAATAAAAACTGGCACCAAGGGAGCCAGGACAGTGGTCACATTGGGGTGAATTACCTTCAGGGACTCCTCAATGCCTGGCCACCTCCCACTCCTCACATCCTCCCCCACCCCCACACAGCCTGCCTGCAGTCTCTTCCACCCCTCCCTGGCCTTCCCCCTCCTTCCCTGCGCCCCGGTGCCTCAGTCGCTCTTCTCCACCTTGGGCGGAGGCTGGTGCCCTGGACAAAGACTGTCCCTCCACAGGCGGTAGGTGATGGAAGCAGAGACAGTGAGCCAGGCCAGGTAGGGCAGCAGGAGCAAGGCGGCCAGCTTGTTGATGGGGTGCCAGATCAGCGCCATGGTCACCACCAGCCCGTAGAGCAGCAGCAGGTGCAGCAGGGCCTGGACAGTGGGCAGGGTGGTCAGGCAGGCTGGCCTGAGACCCGAGTGCTTCCTGTAGCACCCTAGACCCCCTGAGCCAAGTTCCTGGGGCTTTGTGCACTCCACCAGAGCTCACAGTCTGCCCACCTGAACTGCCTGCCCCTGATTGACCTGCTCTGGTAGTGCTCCCACTGCTGAGCTCTGTGCACCTTACCAGACCAGGGGAGTAGGCTGCAAAAAAGAGGGTCAGGGCGGTCCAGCTGATGGCGAGCTGCACAGCATAGAGGCCGAGAGGCAGGGTCAGGTGCCGCCCGAAGCCCCCTCCGAGGTCCTTCCACACCAGGTAGGAGGCATAGCTGTGAAGAGATGGCGGCAGAAAGCTCACAGGGAGGATGTTCCATGGCAAATGGAGGAAGCCCTCTGCCTTCAGGGCTCCTGGGTACACAGAGAGACCCCCTGTGGGCTGAAATGAGGGCAAGTATATCTAGGCATCATTTGGTGGCTGGGAGGAGACAGCGGGGGCAGTTGGGCATGGTGAGGTGGGTGAGGCTGGGGAGACTTGGAGAGGACTGGCTGGAATCCTAGGTAGGCGTAGAGGGACCCACATAAGAGGCAAGCTGGGGTGCCATCCCTTTGCAGGTCAGGTATAGGGGCTTGTTCCCACCCCAATGGGTACCAAGCCCAGGGCATGAGAAACGGGTACTCACCCCATGATGGAGTATATGGCTGTCCACACGAGCAGCAAGATTTTGTAGGGTGGGCACCAGGGCAGTTTCCTCAGGTGGTCACACCAACCAGACATCCTATGCGGGGCGAGGAGCCAGACCACGATGGGCCCCAGGAGGGGCAGGGCCACAAAGATGGCCCCTTGAGGCCACATTCTCCTCCAGGAGGCAAAATCTAGGGGACAGGTGGGGGACAGAACATGCTAACGGTGAGCCTTCCCCTTAGTCCTTTCCTTGTGCCCCTCATCTGCTTCCTCCTCCGTCTGACACCATTCCCTGGCCTGAGCGCCCCCTCCTCCCATTTCCCATTGGAGGTCTAGGCCAGTGGTTGGCAAACTCATTAGTCAACAGAGCCAAATATCAACAGTACAATGACTGAAATTTCTTTTGAGAGCCAAACTTTTTAATCTTAAACTATATAGGTGGGTACATTGTTATTAACTTAATTAGGGTACTCCTAAGCTGGCCTTTGCTAAAAACTCAAGGGGCCAAAGAGTACTGCAGGAACATGTGGTTCTCAAGCTGCGGTTTGCCGACCACTGGTCTAGGCCAGCGCCTCTGCTTAGACCACCTCCCATCCTTCTCCCGGGAGCCCTTACTGCCCAGCTGCTCTTCTGGTTTCCATGGGCTTGTTTTTCCCACCCTCTCAGCAGGCGCTCGGAGGACACTGTCCGGTGTTGATAACGGCTTCTGAGTTATAAGCTCCTCTCCTGCAATGTGGATCTGAATCCTGGAGCTCAGGCCCATGCATGACCATATTTTGTGCCTCCCACAGCAGGTGGCTCTTGGCCAGGCCCTCGACGGGGACAGTGTCTTAGACTGAACTCAACAAGCTGACACAACTGGCCTGAGAGACCACGTTTGGAAGGCGGGAGCCTGAGATCCCTGGGGGTCTTTTCTAGTCCACAGTGGGCCGGCCCATCTGCCAGGCTTATCTTCCTGTGCCAGACTGGCCCATGCGGGGCCCGCCCAGCCTGAGCTCCGGTCTGAATGCCACTCAGCAGAGTGACACTGTGGGATCTCTTCTCTGAAGCCTTAGGTCTCACCTCCCGCTCAGGAGCTGGGGGTGGGTCCCTACATCCATCCTCTTCCAGAGGTTCTGTGCCACAAACACCTGCGCCCAGATTTCCGTGGCCTGATTTCACAACCCCCTAATTGTTTAGTAAGCTGCATGCTCATTTGCATGTTGCTGTGATGCCATCCCCACATGGGATGATGAACAGACCCTCCCCCAACCCTGTCATCTCATTTACATCTGGTATGTCAGCCCCCGCCTCCCCCCTCCTTCCTCCCTCCCCCATGATGGACAGGATTGAAAGGGAAAAACCGATGGCTATTCTCAGCGTTCTGAGGTGACTGACTGCCCGCTCCATACTCTCCTGTCAAGGGCCCTGACCATATCCTGGAGGTTCCGGGGACAAGACTGACCAGCCTGCCTGCCTGGGCATCCTGTGACTGATCTGTTTTTGCTCCTCATTCTCTACTTGTTCATCTCCTGCCTTGCTGTCCCTGTTTCTCTGTGTTTTCTATTGTTCTCTCCAGCATTGGAGGCCCAACCCCCTTCCACCCCCATCCTCTTTTCTCCTCCTCTCCACCATTCCCAGTGCACCCTCATTCTCAGGCCTGTGTTCCCCTTACCTCAGGCAGCACCTCCTAGGCTGGGTACCCGATGATGTATGATGTGTGAGAGGCAGAGGCGGGTGGGGGAGGGGAAAAGGGCAGAGTAGGGCTCTCAGTGGCCCGCCTTTCTCCAGTGACAAGGGTGGCGGTTTTGGCTGAGGAGCCCAGGTTGCTGCCTGCATGGCCCTGAAGGGCTCTCTCAGACCGGGGGCCCCTGATCTGCTTCGCTGAGGCCTCTGGAGGGGCCCCTTGTGGGTGATTGAAGCTTTGGCTTTGTGAGAGCCCGATCTCCTGAGACAGATCGGTCCCAAGCTGCATCCCGTGAACCAGCTCTGGGTCCACAGGGGTGGAAGGGACCCTCAGATGTCTCTAGAACCTTCCTGCAACTGAGATTGACCCCAAGGGTTCTTTTTGGAAATGAATTCGTGATGCATGGACACAGCCCCTGGCTGTAGCTGTTGGTCGGCAGAACTTTTCCTGGCTTGGACGTCAAGCTTGACCAGTCATCCACAAGCCCCTAGAGCTTTGTGACTCCAAGGAGAAGACAGCCTTCCATGTGGCTCAGACAGAGCTCTTCCGGGGAAAGACAGACACCTGCCCTCTCCATCCCCACCAGCGTTCTGATCATTCACTGCCCCTTGCTTGTGCTTTAGGCGTGAGGTCTCCTTCCAGGCTGGCTGCTCTCCACCTTCCTTTGACCACCTCTTGACTTGGGGGACCCTGGGAGCTGTTTATCCCACGCTCTCACCTCCCTCCTCCCAGCCCCCGCCCCACCCTGCCCAGGAAGGCAGCAGAAGGGTGGAGTTGCAGTCAAAAGCTAGAGAATCATTAACTGAGGTGAAAGCAGCGGCAGTTACTTATATTTTAGGGGAGATAATATCTGTGGTTTTGGGGGAGGGTTTGCAATGGTTCCTCAACTGCAGGAGACCAAGCCATGGCGATAACAGTTACCACTCACCGAGCACCCGCTTTGTGCTGAGCGCTATAGATTTATTAGCTCAATAATGACAATGATCATCCCTCACAAGAGAGACATTGTCTGCATTTGACAGACAAAGGGCTCAGAGAGGTTGAGCTACTGGCCTGCAATGACCTAGCTGGCAGGTGGGTCACCTGGCTTCGGTGTTGGCAGTCTGGATCAAAAATGCATCTTTTCTCTTAGCTGGTCCACTCATTCAGCCAGCGGGTCTTTGTGCAACACTTGCTCGGGGTCAGGCTGCACCAGGAGCTGAGGATACAGCAGCAAATAGCTTTAAAAACATCCCTTTTCACAGGAGCTTTCATTCCAGTGGCACCATCTTCCCTAGACAGAGTTTCTCAGGAAGGACTCCGGTGGCAAACGGCCTGAGGTTCCGCTCTCCCTGAGTCCCTGCCAGCACAGACTGTGGATGGGTGGGGGCGGGGGGAAGAGCAGCACTGACTAGGGAGCAGATATGGGTCCGCCCCAATGCCACCAGCTAATTGCAATTCACTAACCTTCTGTGCCCCGCTGTCACTCTGTGCCTCTCTCTCTGTCATCCCACTGGCGGCACCTGGGAGCTCCTTAGAGATGCAGAATCTCACTCTCCCCCCCTCCCCCCATCCCCAACCTATAGGACCAGAACCTAAATTTTAACAAGATCCCTAGGTGGGCCTGGCTGGTGTGGCTCAATGGTTGAGCATCAACCCATGAACCAAGATGTCGTAGGTTCGATTCCTGGTCAGGGCTCATGCCCGGATTGTAGCCTTGATTCCCAGTAATGGATGTACAGGAGGCAGCCCACTGATGTTTCTCTCTCATTAATGTTTCCATCTCTCTATTCTTCTCCCTTTCTCTATCACTAAGAAAAAAATCAATAAACATGTATTTTTAAAAAGGTCCTTAGGTGGTTCATGTGCACAGTATAGTTTGAGGGGATCTGGTTCAGGTTCCCCCCTCTAATCCTCTGCCATTTCAAGAGCCTCTAGCTGGGGCAGGGCACTCACCAGCAGAGGGCACTGTAGGGAGGGCGTTCTCCTGCACCAGGGGTTGCACCTACACCCAGGTTATCACCTCTCTGTCCCCTCCCATCCAGATGTAACTGGCAAGTCCCCTGACTTCTCGGATCCTGGGCTACTCCCTGACCTCGGCTGGACTTTGCCAACAGACAGGGACAGACTCCCACACTCTAAAGGGGGGCGGGGTGTGGCGGGGAGGGAGGCCTCTGCCGGGAAGCACTGGGCCACTCCTGCCTGATTGCCCCGCCCACCGCACTGGTCTCCTGGCATGGTGACAGGGTCTGGCCGACCTCTCCTTTTCTCAGAGAAGAATCTACTGTTCCCAGATACGCTGGCAGCTTCTGGGTGCACCTGCCTGGTAAGGTGAGCGCCCCGCTGGGACAGTTGGGTTTGGGTGGGCATTTGATGGGGCCCCTGAGAACTCACTGTAGGAGTCAGGCCAACTCAGCCAAGCCTGCAGAGTTGAGACTGCTGCCGGAGGAGGAGAGGATGGAGGGGCTTGGGAGATGGCCACTGCCCAGTGGGTATGAGGACCACGGGGATGATGCTATGCGCTGTGGACAGGTGTGCTCTGCTGGTGAATGCTGCCCATGACTGAGTTTTGGACCCATCCCCGTTGGAACATTTTATGTCCTTCAGTACTGAGATCTATCAGGGTGGAGCAGGTGTGGTAAGAACCGGTGCCGTGCGAGATGGGCTGAGAGTTTCCTCAGAGGAGAGGAGCAAGCTTTGCAGCAGGGGCCCAGATCTTTGCGCCGGAGGAGTGACTCCCTAGGGACAGGCCACGGTAGCATTCTAAGGATCTTTGTCTTGGGGAACTGGGTCTGGGGCTAGACCCTGGAGGCCAGGGTAATAAGGAGTCAGGCCTGAGGTGGGGAAGCTCCAGGGTACATGGAGCTGTTTGCCACACTGTCCATCCAGGACCCTCCTGGGGCAAGGAGGACAGAGAGAGGGCCGAGGCCTGGAGACAGCTGTCAGCCTGGGAGACGGGGGCTGAGTTGGGGGGGAGTTCGCCTGCTCCGGGCCAGGCAGTGCATGGGATCCATGTGGGAAGCCCAAGGGGCCTTGGGGGTCTGTACATACTGCCTGCCCCAAGTGGGAGGCCGGGCAGGGGCCTCTGCTGCACTGCAGTGGGGTGCAGAGGACATGGACTCTGGTCTTTGGATGCCCCGGGGAAGATGGTTGCTATAAAACAGGAGAGCCTTGCCGAAACCGGTTTGGCTCAATGGATAGAGCGTCAGCCTGCAGACTGAAGGGTCCCAGGTTCGATTCTGGTCAAGGGCATGTACCTTGGTTGTGAGCACATCCCCAGTAGGGGACATGCAAGAGGCAATTGATTGATGACTCTCTCTCATCGATGTTTCTAACTCTCTATCTTTTTCCCTGCCTCACTGTAAAAAAAATGAATAAAATATATTTAAAAAATAAAATAAAACAGCAGAGCCTCGCCTTTCTTCCACGCTGGCCAGCCCAGCCCCTGCCACTGGCACCTCGATGGGCAGGGGTGCAGGTGTGGAACCGAGGACGTGCCTTTAGGTCCTTCTGTTAGCTGTACTTTATTTCCATTTCTTCCTCTTCCAACGTCATCTCTGCTAGAAATGGAAAAGAGGCCGGGGAGCCACAAGGGGCGGGAAGAGAGAGGGAGTGTTTCTGGAGGACCTTCTAGGGGAATGAGACTCATTCACTCCTTGGTTAACTCACTGTCCTGTCATCCCCCCACATCCTCCCTCCTGCCTCCAGTTGTGGCTCAATAATCTCCCATCGTCCTCACTACAGGGAGAAAAGTTGGCTTCCTCATCTCTGAGATGGAAACAAAAATAACACTGGCTTGTAAGGCTGCGGACGAGGAGGCCACGCAGAGCGCCTTAACGCCGTGTGCAGAGCAAAGCCCTTACTGCTGCAGTGATAGTTCCAATCACCTCTGATGCAGAGGACCCCAAAGGCAGGGGCGGGGCATCACGGGAAGCTTGCGGCCCAGGCCCCATTCCCACCGGCTTCGTACGGCCGGCTCACCCACTTCACGTGTGTGCCCGGCGAGAGGCCTGCAGCGCTCACTGCTCAGCTGGGTCCTCAGGCAGAGGGAACAGTGCCCTACCCTCCTGCCCGGTCCACAAGGAGGACCCAGGGAGATCTGCCCAGTCCTCAATGCTCAGGATAGAGGAGCTTTGCCTCCAGTCCGGAGGAGGTAGGTAGGAGGCTTATGCTCTAAGGGCGAGGTGGAAGGAAGGAAGAGGTGGGCAGTGAAGGAGCAGAGGCTGGGACGAGGTGGATGGTTTGAGTGCAGGGATGGGGAGGAACGGAGGTCAGACCCCAGTGAGTCAACCGAGGAGTGAATGAGTCCCATTCCCCCAGAAGGTACTTGAGAGCTGAATATGATGCCATCTTTGCCAAGACAGCTTCTCTCAGTGCCTGGTACACAGCTGGCCCTCGGAAATGTTCATCTGAATGGGGAGACCAGCAGAGGGAGATTTTGGAGGCACAGGACTATGTAGGGCCAGTGATAGGGGTTGGAAGGGTAGTTGAGTTGGAAGGGAGGGGTCCAGGTGGGATGAAGAGGCAGGTGGGGAGCACAGGTGAGGGGTGAAAGGCAACAGCATGAGCAAAAGCCAGAGGCGAGAACTGGGAATTAACGAGGTGTGAGGAGTTCAGTCTGGCTGGAATGGAGAGTGCTGGAAATCAAGGAGGAAGAGGGAAAGGAAGATGGAGAGGCATGGCTTCTGGGGGGCCTCGGAATCGTGGGTGTCTGTACAGGAGGTGCTGGAAGGCGGTTCCAGTCCAAGGCCCTGCTGCCAGTGTGGCCTACAGCAGCCTGGCCATCAGGGGTGTAGCCATGCTGGGCAGCCGGCTGCCTGGTGAGCCGGGGGCCAGTGCAGGCTCCAGCCCCGCCTCATTCCAGCCTCCCTGGAGGCCCCACCTGTGTTTTTCTTTCTCTTTTTGTTTTCACTTTTAACTTTTGTTACTCCCGAAAGACCATTTGGGTAGGAAGGAGGGGCATAAATAAACTAGCATGTTTGGATAGTCCTTTATCACCTATGAATGCTTTCCACATGAGCTCAGGCCGGCCTGGCAATCACTCTGAGAAGTAATTCCCCCTCCTCTCCCTCCACCCCCCCCCGTCAGCCCCCACTTGTAATGGCTGTTAAAAACACTGCAAAGTTAAATAAATAAAATCCATGCCTGGTGTGAGAAACTCAAAGGACACTGGAAAAAGAGTTTTAAAAAATTGAAAGTCCTGGTTCACACCTTCCACCCCTCAATTTCTCCTCTTTCAGTGACGGCCCGGGGAAAGGTTTTGCCCTCCCAGACCTGCCCGTCCAAGACAAGAATCACCAGCACTTCTCACAGAGCAAGCCCCGACTGTGATGTGCACTGGGCGCAGAGAACACAGACTGATGGGGAAGGAAGGATGTGAACTGTCGCCCTAATCATTTTACATTGATTACCTGCCAACATGATACTATTTTGAATATAGTGGGTAAAATAAGAAATCCATTATTAAAATTAATTTCTCCTGTTTCTTTGTGCTCTCTGACTGTAGCCACTAAAATGTTTAAAATTATATACGTGGCTCACTTTACGTTTTTATTGCACAGCTCTGCTCCAGACTTTCCTCTACAATTCATACTCGGGCTTGGCAAAAGGAGGTGTGCAGCTGTGAGTACGCAAAGGAGTTCCTTCTTGTGTTATTTATTCGTTACCGTATTACACAAACCTGCTTTTGCCCACTCCTGTATACACACTCATAAATATGTATCTACACGTCTATATAGTTTTGTTATTTACAAGAATGAAATCAGGGGGTGTCTCCTCCCTGGGAATTGCTTTTCTCCACAAAGGTTTTTTTCTGTATCAGCACGTGTAGATCAAGGTAGGCATTCTGATAGGTGAGGAAACGAAGGCACCTTAAGTAATATGACAAGCGCTCTCAGCCAGGGACCAATGTGCATTTGAGCTCACATGCCCTGAAGACCAGCTCTCTCTGCCTCAGGGGAGTTTAGTTTGAAGTGTAGGTCATGAGAAGCTGACGTGGGCTCTTTGTTAAAAAAATATATTTTATTGATTTTTTACAGAGAGGAAGGGAGAGGGACAGAGAGCTAGAAACATCGATGAGAGAGAAACATCAGCCTCCTGCACACCTCCCACTGGGGATGTGCCCGCAACCAATGTACATGCCCTTGACAGGAATCGAACCTGGGACCTTTAAGTCCGCAGACCGACACTCTATACACTGAGCCAAACCGGTTTCAGCTGCCGTGGGCTCTTAAATAAGAGAGATGGTGACGTTCTGTTAGAGGAACTGCCGTGACTGAGGGGTGTGGGGTGCTGGAATATAGACAGTCTGCTCTATCACCACAGGCGTTTGGATGCTGAGTCTTGGCCTCTACGACGTTGCAGAGGGTTAGCCTGGCACTGACTTCTTTAACTCCTGACCTTGGCCTTGGCTGTTGCAGGGGTGCAGGGGAGCTCACAGCATCCAGTGACCAGGCAGATGAGCTCCGGTGAGAATTCCTTCCAACCTGCCCCGTTCCTGCTGCTAGTGGGCATTCCGGTGGCAAGTGTCCTCCTTCTGGTCCAGTGCCTGCGATGGCACTGTCCCCGCTGGCTGCGGGCCAGCTGGAAGCTGGACAGGCAAGTGGAGCCAGTACCCCATCCCACTCCCCTCCCTGAAGATGAGTCTCCACACCAGGGCCCTTCGGCCGCCCTGTCGGAGATGGCCGCCTTCTACCAGGAGCTGCACACGCCCACCCAGGGCCAGACCGTCACCCGGCTGCTGATGCACAAGCTGCTGGTGTTTGCGGCTCGGGAGGTGGATCACCGCGGTGGCTGCCTGATCCTGCGGGACACGGGCATCTCGCTGCTCATCCCTCCAGGTAACAGCGCGGGCTCACTTTGCGGCGTGCAGCTGCTCAGACAGCGGGCTTCATGGAAGGGAGCAGTCAGACACCTTCCTAATTTTGAAAATTGTTTACATTACGTTTTTATTGATATCAGAGAGGGAGAGAGAGAGATAGAAACATCAATGATGAGAGAGAATCATTGATTGGCTGCCTCCTACACACCCTCCAATGGTTAGGTGACCAGATGTCCCAATTTTGGTGGGACAGTCCCGATTTTTAACAATTTGTTCTGCGACCCAATGTGTTTTTAAAAAGTCCCGATTTTTAAATGATTCTTTCCTTTCCAGATTCTTTCCAAAAATCGGGACTTTTTAAAAATGCCGCGGGACGTGGGACAAATTGTTAAAAATCGGACTGTCCCGCCAAAAGTGGGACATCTGGTTACCTTACCCAATGGGGATCGAGCCCACAACCTGGATATGTGTCCTGACCAGGAATTGAACTGTGCATAGTTAGATGCTCAACCACAGAGCCACGCTGAAAATTGTCCACATTTTGAGTATGGGTTTATTGACCTCAAAGACAACTTCCCAGCAGGTGGGGTTAAGGTGCTTGCTCTAGTGAACAGTCCCTTCAATAAAGGAAACGGGAAGTGGGGGAGGAGCCCTTTGTGCACATTCACTCAGGCTCTGCATGGACCAGGGCCACCCTGCTTTGAGGGTGACTGGCCCAGGGTTACACCACACGTCAGCTCGGTTGTCTTGCTCTCCATCCGTACTGCCTTCCCTGTGGGCACCTGGACTCCTGCCCCACCTCCCCTCCCAGGCTGGCCTGGCCTCCCCTGGGGCAGGGTGTGTCTGCTTGTCCGGCCCATCCCAGCTCTCCGTCTCCCCAGGCGCCGTGGCCTTGGGCCGCCAGGAGCGGGTGTCACTGGTCCTGGTGTGGGACCTGTCGGATGGCCCGAAATTGTCCCGAGCCCAGGGGCTGGTGAGCCCCGTGGTGGCATGCGGACCCCATGGGACCTCCTTCCTGAAGCCCTGCACCCTCACCTTCAAGCACTGCGCCCAGGTGCCCAGCCACGCCCACGCCTACAGCAGCAACACCAACCTGCTCGACGCTAAAAAAGACTGGAAGCCCCTGGGGAAGCGGGACATCCACACCTCCCTGGACGAGTGTCGCATCCAGCTCTCCCACTTCAGGTGGGCACCGGCCCCTCGACCTCTCCTTTCTGCCCCCCACCTCCCCCCTTTTCTGCCTGCCCCATCCTCATCTCTGCATGGATCTGCTCCTTTATCAGTTCCAGTGGCCTGCAAACCTCTTATTTCCCCATGTCCCTTCTTGGTTCCTCTGTCCTAATGTCTAGGACAGTTCGTGTCACTCCAACCCTGTCCAGGACTGTACATCCCCTCTGGTCTCTCTGCCTGTTTAGGAGGCCTGGCTTCCCCCACCCTCTTTCTGGAGGGGCCCTGTTCTGTCCCCACCTTTGCCTCTCTAAGATTGTCTAGGTCTGTGCCCATGTTCAGGGCTGTCCCCCAACTGCCTAGGCAAGTTTGTCCCCTCTAATGCCCTAAGCACTATCCCATCTCTTGTCTGTCCTTAGTTCTGTCTTTCTTTTGGTTAATCCTCATCCGAGGTTTTCTATTGAATTTTTATTTATTTATTTATTTGTTTGTTTGTTTATTTGTTTATTTTAAAGAGTGGAAGGGAGAGGGAGAGACAGAGAGAGAAAAACATCTGTGTGTGAGAGAGATACATCTATTGGTTGCCTCCTGCATGTGCTCCAACCAGGGCCAGGGATCTAGCCTGCAACCGAGGCACATGCCTTTGATGGGAATCGAACCCAGGATCATTCAGTCAGCAGGCTAATTCTCTAACCATGGAGCACCCAGCCAGGGCAGCTCTGTCTTTCTAGAATCTTAGGCCCTTCTTCCTCTCATTCTCCTTGCCACCATTAACCAGAGTGAGACCAGCCATCTGTGGGCCCTTCCAAAGCACGGCGGCCCTGAGCCCGCTGTCCCCCTGTCCTATGCCGAGATATTTGCTGGCTCTTCTCTACACTGTGATGGTCACTGCACGTGCCTCACTTTTCCTCCTCCCACCAACTCTGCCTGCTCACATCCTCTCTATGCACACCCTAGCCTGCTCTCTCGGTTCTGTGGAGGCCCCCAAGGAGGCCTCTGGCACAGGAGCTGGGTGGCTAGTGTGCTGGCGTCCCAGAATCTCCTACACCAGTCCCTGTACCATCTCCCTCTACTCCACAGCCTCTACACGTGTGTGCTGGAGGCACCCAAGGTCCAGGAAGCTCGCAAATGGCTGCAGCTGGCTGTGTTCTGCTCGCCGCTGGCGCCGGGGCAGACCCACCTGCAGCTGCGTGTCTACTTCCTCAACAACACGCCCTGTGCCCTGCAGTGGGCCCTGACCAATGAGCAGCCCCACGGCGGGCGCCTGCGAGGGCCCTGCCAGCTCTTTGACTTCACTGGGGCCCGCGGGGACCAGTGCCTCAAGCTCAAGTACATCTCTGAGGGTGAGCAAGGCCTAGACAGGGCAGCAGGGAGCCCCACTCGAGCAAGGGGTCTGTGCCTCCCCTGGGGTGGAAATGGGGGGGCCTCAGGCTCCTTTCAGAGACTCTTGGGCAGGTCCAGGGGGGCCTTCTGGTCTCTGCTGATAACTTGAGGGGTCCCCAGGCTCTGCCTGCTTCCTTTGTCTGTGGCTCACTCAGCCCTGGTCCCTCCGAGGGAGGGAGGACAGGGTGAGGCAGGGTGGGAGGAGGGGAGGAGAGGCCTGGCACCCCCAATGGAGAGGCTTTCATTGTTCCACCTGGATGGAGTGGTGTGGAGGGGGTGGCCCTGTCTTCTCTGCTTGGGTCTCTTTCCTGGGTGGCATGGGCTCTGGGAATTGCCCCTGGGACCTAGGACATTTGTATGGGCACAGATGCATGGCTGCTTCGGGGGGTCGTGGATGAGAGGGTGGGGGTTATAAGAGTGAGCTGTGTGTGGTGGTCGAAGGAAGACCACAGGGTCCCCTGCCCAGGCTCCGGGACTCCCACTCATTTGGTTTTGCTGCTCCTGGTCCCTCCCCATCGCACCCTGCATGTCACCTGCCACAGTGTACGGTTTCCGTAAACACTGTGGGAGGCCCTGCTCTCTGAGGCCTCCGCTCTCGGTCCCCTCCCCAGGTTGGGAGAACGTGGATGACAGCAGTTGCCAGGTGATTCCCCATCTTCACATCTGGCATGGGAAGTGCCCCTTCCGCTCCTTCTGCTTCCGGAGGAAAGCAGGTAGTCAGGCGCCGGTCCACTTCCTGTCCTCCCTCTTCCCTCTCCTCCCCTCCCCTCCCCACGGTCACTCTGGAGCTCAGCCGTTCTGCATCCAGCCACGCTCCGGGCCTGCTCAAGGCGAGGAGCCACCTGCTCTTTGCAGAGGGAAACCTGGAGGGTCCTGCCCAGCTTCTGATTTCCAAAGCCTCATTGTCCTTCAGGTTTCCTGCTCTTTCATGCCAGGCCGTTTCCTCTCTCACCTGTCCTGTCTGCTCCCTTTTGTAGCCAATGAGAACGAGGACTGCTCGGCACTAGCCAATGAGATCATCGTCACCATGCACACCTTCCAGGATGTGAGTGGCAGCTGAGGGCAGGGGCAGGGGCAGGACCTGGGAGGTGTGCTGGGCAAAGTGGGAGAGGGGTCTGGTGCCCAGTACCTATGGCCCTGATCAAGCAGGTAAGATGGCACCTGGCCTCTGAGTTACCCTTCATCCCGGGCTCTCTCTTGTCTGTTCATGGACGAATCTAGTAGGAGAATAAAAAGACCAAACCTTCTCTCAGCCCAGGGGCACGTGGGCGTCAAAGAGAAGTGGTTTCTTTCCAGGCTGATGGTCTCCACCTGAGAGATGGTGCTGAGCCTCTCCAGCGTGGAGCATGGCCAGCAGGGGGGTCGTCAGTGCATGGGTGGGAGTGACATATCCCACTCTCTCAAGGGAGGTGTGAAGAAGGCAGGGTTGAGGGTCTTGGGGGAGCCATGGCGGCTTCTTAGTGGAGAGCAGGCAGATGCCCCTCAGGGGTGTGAGTGGGGAAGGAAACTAGGAAAGGAGGAATGGAGGGAAGGGGACACGTATGGCAGAGCTCAGCGTCTCTATTTCTGGATGAACGTGCCTAGGACTTCTAGTGTCTTAGGGCGCACCCTGTTTGACCCTCAAGTCCCAGGTCCCAAAGAGTTCAGCAGGCAAACCGAGGGCTGAAGGTTCTGAGGTCAGGGAAGCAGCGGATCGGGGCCCTGGGTTGGGGAGGGCGGCACCTCCTGGAAACATGCTCTGCGTGTCAGGCTGGAGGACGACGTGAGAAACGGAGGCCAGTTCCCCAGCTTCTTGTCCTAAGTGTGTTTCTGGCCCCTCTGCTGGCACAGGGCTTGGAGACCAAGTACATGGAAATCCTCAGGTTTCAGGCCTCAGAGGAAGAAGCCTGGGCCGCGCCGCCCCCTGTCGCCCAGGCTCCCCCGTGCAATAGGTGAGGTGGGGCTGCTTGGGTGGTTGCCTGGGGGATGTTCGGGATTCACCCGAGTGCCTCTAGATGAGGACAGCATTTGGGGTGTGTACAACCAGACTGGTCTCTGGTCCTCCCCTCTGAGAGTACCATCTCCCCCCACCTGGCCTCAGGCTGCCCCCCGAGCTCTTTAAGCAGCTGCAGATGTTGCTGGAGCCGGACAGCATCACAGGCAACGACTGGCGGAGACTGGCCTCCCACCTGGGGCTCTGCGGCATGAAGATCCGGTAAGAGGGATGAGATCTGCCCAGGGGAGGCGGGGGGTGGGGTGGTGGTGGTGGTGGTGGTTTAGACCACAGATAAGAGAGAGAATGGCTACTCCCACTCTATCGTCCATAAAAGGGGCAGCTCTTTCTAGTTACCACGGTATTGTCAGTACCTAGAATGATGCCTGGCTCCAAGTAGGTCCTCCATCAATGCTAAAAAAGAAGCCAACTAACATGTAAATTACACATTGAGTGCTTGACATCCTGTGCCCCGAGGGGCAGGCTATAAGGTCTTGTGTGTGAAGCATGTACTGAGCGCCTGGCACGTGTTAATGAGTGTTGGCAGTCATGGAGGCCATGCTGGCGTGGTCCCTGTCCAGAGAAACCAATGGGAGGACCAGGCTGAGCTAAGCCCCAGAGCCCAGACTCTGAGGGCAGTGCTCAGGGAAGATTTCCTTCGCCCGGGAGATGGGCTTGGAGCGGGGCCCAGCTGAAGACAGGGTGGCTTTGTAAATCACCCATTCAGTAAACATTCGCCCAGTGCCTGCTGTGTCCTGGGAAACTGTGCTCAGCTTTGGGACACAAGATGAAAGGTCCCAGCCCCCAGGAGCTCACAGTCTAATAGGGATACAAAGAGCTTAACAGAATAAAGGCCAGAATTCCTTGTGCCTTCATGCATGCGCCCTATATTTCAGAGCAAGTTGAAAACAGAGGCACCAAATAGCTAACGCAGGAATAATAACGACTTGTGAAAGTTATGATCAGAAGTCTGAACTGTGGGGTGCAGAATGGTCTCCTTGCTCACAGCTTCAGGGAGGAGGGAAGGGGGACCCGCCATGCTGTTTGGCGGGAGCAGCAAGGGGTGTGGGTGTGCTGTGTGCACAGTGGTAAGTGGATAGCCTGAAGAAGGAAGGCTCAGGATGGGAGCAGGAAGGAAAGTTCTGAAAACAACAACAACAAAAAACCAAAAAACAAACAAACAAACCAAACAACAAATCAATAAACAACAACAACAACAACAAAAACACCCCAAAATAAAAAAAACCCCAAAATAAAAAAACTACACACACACACACACACACACACACACACACACACACCAAAAAGGCCAGGCAGAGCGTCAGGGACGTGGGCTGGGTTCACAGGCAGAGGAGACGCTGGAAGGTTTCTGAGCAGGAACAACTGTTTCGCCAGTGGAAGGCAGGATGTTGTGACCTGGACAGAGGAGGGAAGGGTGATAGTGTGTTGGAGGTGGGGAAAGAGAAGGGGTGTAGAGGGGACAATAATTACCTTAGAGGTAATCTCATCCAAGCCCTGGGTGTCAGGAGAGAAACTGAGGCTTAGAGAGGAGTGACTTTTGAGGCAGAGCAAGCTCAGATTTCCAAGTCTTGGGCCTCCCTCCCACCACTTTGAAGGTAGGCAGGAACAGGATGAGAACCAGAGCTGGGGAGTGTATGGCTCTCACCGAGCATCCCTCTTTCTCCTCCCTTCCTCTCTATGTCTGTGGGCCAGCTTCCTGTCCTGCCAGAGCAGCCCTGCTGCGGCCATCCTAGAGCTGTTTGAGGAACAGAACGGCAGCCTGCAGGAGCTGCATTACCTCATGACCCTCATGGAGCGGCTGGACTGCGCCTCTGCCATCCAGAGCTACATGGGCAGCCCGGCCCCCATCCGCATGGGCGCCTGGAAGAACCAGGGCCTGGAGCTGGACGTGAAGCTCTGAGTCCCCCCTGGAGTGGGGCAGTGCGGTTTGCCTGGACACCTAGGAGGAACATAGGTTCCTGGCTGTGCCCACCGACCTCATCAGAACCCTCAGACCATGTCTCAGGCCACTGTGAGGCTGGGCTGCCATTGCCAGCCCCAGGGCCTGGGATCAGGACTACCTTGTGACTGGCTTTGTTCTGCCTGCAGATCCCCTCCTGAACGGCAGGGGGCGCAGGAGCCCAGGAGATGGACCCGCATGTTAGGCCTCCGAGAAGCTATTTCATAGACCAAAAAGACTGTTAGGTTTCGGTGCTGGCACATCTTGAGGACTGGTCAGTCCACAGTATTCACTGAGCACTTGGTGTTACCCAGCACTGGAATGGGCATCATGCAGAATCCTAGAACATATGGGGGAATATGGAGTCTTGACAAGCATACAGTTCTCGTGTGGGAGTCAAGATTACTCATATGAGCAGAGGGCAAACTCTAAAACAGTGGGTAAGGGTGGGCAAATGTAGGTCTATAGTTGTGAGCACGGGAAACAGAGTTTATTCTTGTATTATTTATTAATTATTGTATTATTTTCCATACCAACAACTGTAAACCGACTTCCACCCACCCTGCATCTCCTGTGGTTAGGGATGTGAGTGTGGTGTGAACTGTATGCTTCAGGAGTGGAAAAGAGAGGGAGCTGAGCATAGGCTGGTGCAACGAGGATGCTGCAGAGAGACTTGAACGTGCAGAGCGGTTGGGACATGTTTAGATAGGAGTAGGGGTAGGGGTAGGGGATAGGGTAGAGGTGGGGAGTGACTGGAGAGGAGGAGCCAGGAATGAGTGTGGAGTGCTGAGGCATTAAGCAGCCTGGCCTAATGGGTGGGAGGTGAGGGTCCATAGGAGTTCAAGGCCAGATCTACATGTGGGAAAGTCCTACCTGGCTGTCTATCTGTCTCCTTCGCCTTCCTTTGTCTCCTTATATGTACCTTATCTCTCTCCCTCTGCCATTAAGTCTGCTATAAAACATCAAAACTGAACAGAAACTTCAAGATTATCATTCTTGCCCAACCTTTTTATCTCTTTATTTCGAACTGTGTAGCGTTAAGTGACTTCATTTTGCGGTCACTATCCATCCCTGAATCTGGCTCTCTGCTATTCTATGCATTAACATCTTTTTGTCTCTACTTCTTTGCTGTGCCTGCCTTTGTTTCTTTCTCTGAAACCCTCGGTCATTCCTCTCAGGCAAGTGCCTCTAAACCAGTGTTATATATCAAAGGCGATTGAAAGACACTGGGCTATGCTAGGAATGGATGGGTGGGGATTTTACCTCTTGAGTCAAGATGCAGTTTAGGGTCAGGAAATAAAGGATAGGGATTAAAGAACACCCCCGCCAGTCCAACAAATGCTTATTCAGTACCTACTATGTGTTCAAGAGATTAACAGCTGGGTTCTGAAAAGAGAACAAAGGGTTTGACTCTGGCAATGCTTTTGATTGCAAACAGATGTTAATTTTTTAAGGGCAGGCGAACAATCTCTCTGGCAACACGAAACAGTTTGCTTCTGTATTTAATTAAAAAACATTGAGCCTTTTTCCACGATGAACAATGTTGTATAATAAAATATGAAAATTGCCTTTCTTTGATATTAACTGTATTTTGCTCAGATTGGTACATTTGGTTGTGGGTATGCATGGTTCTCATTAGTAAACTTATACCAATAGGGGCAGGTTAGAGGAAGCGTTTTGTAGATGGTGTGCTTCTAGTGTGAAAATTGTCTGGGTCCAGCATGGTAGATCAGGCCCTTTTTGTTAGAAGCAAGTGGGGCCCTTCCACCATCTTGCTCTTCCCTTCGCCCCACCCATCCTCTCCCACCCTCCTCATTAGGCCTCCCACCCCACTGGGAGCCACTATTCCAGCTCTATGCCTTGGCCTCCTTCCCTTGTACCTGGCTTGGGATCCATCTAATAAGAACATTCTCCTCTGGAACCGCAGCACAATTCTCCCCCTGCCCCTTTTCTCCCATCATCTCTTCCTTGCTTTCCACGCCAGCCAAAAAGCATCTTTATTTTGTGTTCCTCTGTACCCCAGAACAGATCATTTGAAGAGTTCCAAGCCACCTGGAAATGTGAATAGAGGTGGTGAGGGTTTCTGTGACGGGGTTAGTGCTTTCTGGCTCCTCCCTGCCCTGGTAGTCAGAATGGACCCAAAGGAGGCTTGGGCATCTTGGGGTAAGTGGCGGGCTGCCTGATCCCTATAGTGTGGATCCTGCCTTTCCCAAGTCAAACCTAATTGGCATGTATTTGCTGACATCCAAAGCTGAGACGTTCTGGGAGCGCATGGAGACAGCATCAGCTCTGGCTGGAGCCCTCATTAGAAAAGCTCTCATCCCTCTGGCCTCAGTCTATTTACCCTTAGAATGGAGCAACTACGTCTCAGGCTCTCCAGGTGTCTTCTTTTGATTCCATGATGGTGACCTAAGCGACATACCCTTGGGGATTTTCTTTGTGTATTGCCTTTATTTATTTTATATTAGTTATTTTTTAATCCTCAACCGAAGATATTTTTCCATTGATTTTTAGGGAGAGTGGAAGAGAGAGAGAAAGACACAGAGAAATATGGATGTGAGAGAAATGATTGCCTCCTGCACACACCCAGACTAGAGCCCAGGCTGGGGAGGAGTCTGCAACTGAGATATATGTCCTTGACAGGAATTGAACCCGGGACCTTAGGTACCCAGACTGATGCTCTACCTACTGAGCCAAGCTGGATAGGGCTGTGTATTGGCTTTAAATAGAACAATTGGTCACTGCCCGTTACCTTACTGCCAGCCTTTTACTAGTAAGTTATCTGCCTGGTCCCTAATAACACTAAATTTGTGCCTTCTGCTTTTAAGCATGCTGTGAAAGCCCGTGCATGCCTCAATGTCTTCCAGTTAGGGTTAGAGCTGGGAGGGGATGTGCAGGAGAGGTCAGGTCTCGATCTGCAGGGTTAGATTCAGGGGTGGGAATACCCAGCCCACTTAAGTACCATGAAATCATGTGGTCTGACCCTGCCAAGGCATTAGGGGTGAGTTAATTAAATGTTTGACCAAATATAGCAGGCTAACTTTTAAGTTGATAATTTTTATGGCCTGTGAGTGATGTTATAAATATCCAAACAGCCCCTGGCAAAGAAAGATTCCCCACCCCTGGGAGGCTCCGTGCTCAGGGAAACATGTCCTCAGCACCTCGTCTGCCTGCTGAGTGACATGCATGCCAGTGTCCAGATCCATGCTGTCCAACAGAAATAGAATAAAGCCACATATTTAATTCTATATTTTCTAGCAGTCACATCAGAGAGTGTAAAGGGAAACAGGTAAAGTCAGTTTCGTTTTTTACAAATCATTCATGTTTATTTTTATTATTTTTGTGAAGTCAGTTTTAATAATGCATTTTATTTAATCTAATATATCCAGAGTATTATAATTCCTACATGTAATCAATATAAAATTATTAATGGCATATTTTAAATTATTTTCTTCATAAAGTATTTGGGAGTTGTGTGTATTTTACAATTACAGCACATCTCAATTTATATTGAAAATGTGCTAAATTTATATTGGAAATATTTGATCTGTATTTAGCTTTCATAAAATTTATAGCGGAAAAAGTACATTTACATACAGAAGTTATGCTAAAAGTGTTTCAAAAATAAAATTAGGTATACACTTAAAAATTTCAACCAGTTGAAATAAAATAAAAGTGCTTCAATTGTTCTAGCTACTTTCCAGTGCTCAGCAGCTCTATGGCTAGCGGGTACTGTGATGGACAGTGCAGGTGTGGATTATGGATCCCACTGGGCATAATTTATGGTGTGCTTGACCATTCATTCATTCATTCATCCATCCATCCAATACTTGCTGGCTACCCACCCTGCACAAAGTGTGGGTGATAAAAGTTCAATAAAGAAAAGCACCCCTGTTCTATAGGAGCTCCTGGAATGGTGGCAGTCAGAGAGAAGGACACTTTTCCTCCATCCCTCTCCACACCTGACTCAAGGAGGACATGGAGGAGGTCCAGGCAGACCCTCTCTGCTGCAGGAATGGCTCCCACTGCAGTGAGATGGAGAGACCAAGGACTGGGTCAGGTGTTCCTGCTTTACCCAGCACATCAGGTGGGTTCTTGGTTGCTGACAACACAATTTGCTCTTCCTGGCTAAGGTAGTTGGGAGACTTTACTCTGAAGGACGAATATTAATTTGGAAAGCTGAGAAATAAAACTGAGGTAAAGTTTCTAGTGATGATGCCTAAACTGTGCAACTAGCTCATGGGGAAGAAACTAGTGTTTCTATGGCTGCCACTTCCAAGTCGGGAACCAGACCTCACCACCACCTCTGAAAGCGAAGGTCTCTGCTGCCATCCAGGTCAACCAACATGGGGACTCCAAGCACTGTACTGCCTACTTCATCACCCTATTTATTTCTGAATCCATCTCAAGTATGGGCATCAGATTGTCAGCTCCCTGGTTGCATACCAAATCCTAGCTGCAAAGGAGTCTGGAAATTTGAATTCTGACTTTAATATTGGGGAGGTAGGATTCATTACATGCAAACATTCCCAAATATGGAAACATATTTGAAAGTTGATGGACAGCCACGAATATGACAGATTTCCACCACAGCCCAGGTGTAGTTAATGCTGCGGCCCCACGCAGCAAAGTCTCTTCACAAAAAGAACCATGACATCAGCAGGTGTTAGTGTTATTCCATGACCTTCAGAGTCATCTCAATAAAGCATGACAGCATAGATCCCTCAGGACATCCCTTTGATCCCTGTACAATCCAGCAGGATCAGTGCAGCGAAAGCTCACCAACAGCAGTGAACTGATTTGATCAGTGCCTTCTCCAGCCCCACATTCCTTTCTGTACTGCAGAGGCTGAAAACCCACATTCACAGGCTCCTGGGGATCTAGATTTATTTAGGTTCTGCTGAGCTGGACTCATGTAGGACCTTGATTTGACATTACATAGTGTGGGGGGTTGAGCAGGG